CGGGAGAAGGGAACAAGGTCTTAGGTTTTATATGATTTTTTAAAATTCTGCACTTTTGACAGTGGTGGCGAAATACACTAATCCAAAAGTTATTTTTCTATTGAGAAGAGGTGGATTGTTTTTCCTTTTGATTCCAATCTTTTCTCCCCGTGACAAAGCATAAATCATGGACACCAGAAAATAAGGTGGACCTCAGGAATCCTGAAGACTCAGAAGCTTACATTCCTCCTCAGGAGGGAAGGGTGGGTGTTTTTATTCCTCTCTGGAACCCAAAACGAAAAACATGAGTTGCGTGCCATGGAAAGGAGACAAGGCCAAATCTGAATCATTGGAGTTGCCCCAGGCAGCACCCCCACAAATCTACCATGAGAAACAGCGCAGGGAGCTTTGTGCCCTGCACGCCCTCAATAACGTCTTCCAGGACAGCAGTGCGTTCACCCGGGAAACGCTGCAGGAGATTTTCCAGAGGTAGGGGACTCCTTCTTCTTGGCTTGTTGATACTTTTTGCTATTTCTGAATTTCTGTGGGTGGGATAATGTCTCAGCACCATACACCTTCAAACCAAGAGGTATTATCAGCTAGATGCTGTTAGCAGGTATAAGGGACACAATTGGAAAGGTAATCACTACCTTTTATTGAGCACTTATGGGCTAGGCACAGTGGTAAGAGCATCAGTGGTGTCATCTCAGCAATGCCATGGAGTACGTGTTGTTGTTATTTCCACTTCATAGAGACAGAGTTCAGTAATTTGCCCAGGTAACATAACAAGAGATGGAGCCAAGTTTGAATTCATGTTGTGTCTGTGCTGTTGACCACTATGCCATAATGCCTCTCAAGTCCTGCCCCCAAGGAGTTTACAGTCTAGAAGGGGACAAGATAAGTACATACTCAGTCATCTGTCATCGTAGGTGGAATGTTGTGGGTACACAGAAAGGTATATACACGGTACTCAGCCTTTCTACGAGGCCACGTGCTGGCTTTTGTGCTTTTCATACAGTATTTTGTGTAGCCCTGCCAACAGTGTTTTACTGTGTCTATTTTGCTGATGGAGAGACAGGCAGAAAGGTCAGGTAATTTGTCCAGATAGCTTCTAAGTAGGAAAGCTGTGATGGGAAGCTCACTCTTGATCCCTTCCCTTTTCTACTTCATTCTAGATACCCTTTCTTATCCACTCACCAAATGCTACCTGACCGGTTGATAGAAGTTCAGCTTTTCTCTCTCTGCTTTGATGTTTGAAAATTCTTTTATCAAAGGGTTTGAGAATTAGTTCTGCAGGAACTAATTCTCTTCAGGAAATGGGGCCCTGGCAGGTGAGATCATTTGTCTCAGATCACCGGGTCATGTCAGCACGTCTGCAGTCCATAGTGACTTTGGCAGGAAGCCTGTCTGATTGCTCCAGCTAGAAAGTGTTAGGCCTGCTCAGTTCTCAGTGCAGAAAAAGCTGATGAATTCTTCAAGTAGAGCATATTGGCAGTTTCAGAAGACTCTTTCTGACTCCCTTCACTCAGAGATGAAAGTATTGCCCCAGAAGGACCTGAATTACAGCTGGAAACAACCTATTTGGGGTGATTTGTGAAGCTGTAGGTGTGGACTATTTACACTGAAAGAACCATAGTCCTCTCTTAAAAGAATGTTAATCCCAGTGTGCTGACAAAATTATAATGAGGGTAATTATTTTGCACTGCCAATAATAACCATAGTTATGACTTAGCAGGGCAAATCTGTCATTTGCATTATGGCCATTATATGGCAAGTAGGATAAACTCTCTTCAGAAATTGCACCCTGGGAGGTGAGATAATTTGTCTCAGATCACCAGGTCATATAATTGAAAGGAGTAGAAAGGAGGCCAATCCATTAGTCTGCTTCCTTTTGACCAGCCATAAATATTTCTTCTAAATTGGATATTTGCAATTTATTTCCAACCTAAGGCTAGGAAGAAGGAAAGAACTCATTGTGAGTAGTTGAATGTGCTTGGTACTTGGTAACATCTAGCAATCTTGCAACAACCTTATCAGTAGTGATCCAAGGAAGCTAGGATTCAGTTTAAGCAATTTGCCCAATTTCACTCACTAGTAATTTAAACAGTCAATTCTGTGTGTTCATTCAGAATTGTTTCACTTCTGTAAATTTGGCCCCTGAGCTGACATGATGACGTTCACCAACACACATGAACAGTCACTTTGTGCAAAGCACTGTTTCCTTGTGTTAACTCATTCCTCACACTGATTTTAAAAGGTAGAATCTGTTATTTGCCATTTTTCCGGATGAGGAAATCATGGCACAGAGCTATTAATGGCAGGATTTGGACCAAGCTTTGTGACTCCAGGGCCTGCCCTCCTAACTGCTCTGTCGCTTCCTGAGTATTGGAAAGGCATGTTCATCCTGCTAGTGAGTTGGGTCTGGGTCTGAAGATGTGGACTGAGTGTAAGCTCTTTGTGAATAATAGTGGGGCTTTTTCAGCTTTGCTTTCCCTGAATGAAACAATGCTATGGTCCACCTTAAAGTAATAGCAAATCAGTACACAAAGAGAATATACTCTGTCCCCACTCCAAGGTCGAAATTCTGTATAGAATATTTTGTATGGGAAGATTCTGTGTGGATGAATAGAAACAAAAGAAGCATGAAAGGGATCAGAGGAAAAAGCAAAGGAGAAGAGGTGAGAGAGAGAAAATGGAATTTTTTAAACATTTACTGGCTGCCTGCAGTGTGCCAGGCACTGCTAGGCACTGTAGAGAAAACAAGTTGAAATGGACTCAACCGCCGCAAGTACATCTCAGTGATACACTGACCGGGCCTTGACACATTCAAGTAAAGTTGGACCCATGGGATTCAGAACAATCGAAAAGGAAAATACGATTTGGGTCCTAAAAGAAAGAACAGTAATGTTGGCAGGTTTAACTAGATAATTTCAAATTCCCAGATCCTGAAGTTTTATGCTTTTTTGAAGATAAGGCTAATGAGTAGAAATGGGGAAAAATTTTATTAATGCCATTTGTTGAGAGGAAGTTGATCCTAGCAGTTTAATTTTAGCCCGATGAAAGAGAAATACAAAAGCAGGGTGGAGTTTCAATACAGTTGTGCATATGAGGTGACTCATGTTTGGAATAGAAATGAATAGGAACTGAGAAAGAACTAAGCTAATGACTTGGCAGCAACATGGGAACCGGGAAGACAGGAGTCAGGTGTGTGACAGGCTCCGTCCAGGATTTGAAGATAGTGGTAAAGTCCACAGTGATAGCAAAAAGAGGCTTGAAAAGGGTCTGTTTCCAACATGTGAAATTAGAGAAAAGATAGAAATAGGGCAAGTGTCATCAGTGTGCATGTGGATAGATGTGGATATTTGATCTCATATATTTTATTATGTGTCTGCGCTTTGAAAAGAAAGGACTCAGAAGTTAAATGACGTGGAAGCGGCTTTGCAAGGTAGTTTTGAAAACCCTCAGGTCTCAAACATTTGATCATTGAACATTTTTCAGTGATCAGATGTTCTTGCAGCTAGGTATGTATTTCTCTCCCAAATATAATAGCTGATGAGAACTAACTTGGTACTAGGGAAAAAATCTAATGCAAGCTGGAAGGGACAAAGATTGTAGATATTGGTGAACAACCAGCATTCTCTACCATAGAGGGGAAGTCCTCCTGCCTCCCTATTAAATGGTCCTTGAGCTGGTAGAAGGAGCCACATTTAAAGGTATGGTGGTTGTGCCCTGACCTCTGTGGCTCAGTTGGAGCTTCGTCCCATATACCAGAGGTGGTGGGTCCAGTTCCAAGTCAGGGCACATACCCAGGTTGCGGGTTGCATCCCTGGTTGAGGCACATATGGCAGACAACCAATTGATGTTTCTCTCTTGTTCTCTCTTCCCTCTCCTTCCCTCCCCTACTCCCTCAGGTCAATTAAAAAAAAAATTTAAAGGTATGGTGGTTGTAAATTGAGAAAAGGTGTTGTTGAATGTTAACCTCTAGAGATTTGAATTATCTCATCCAAGGGCCAGACAAATATCACCATCACCATCGTAGCCAACATCTACTACAGAGCACTCCTGCATGTCTGGCCCTATGATCTGTGCTTTATACTTAATTTTAAGACATCAGGAAGTTCTGAGCCATATTTTCTAATGTTACATCTCTTCAGACCTGATAAAAATGAAAATAATTACAGGAAAAAAGGAATATGGATGAATATCTCCACATCTCCTTTTCATTAAAATCTGAATGCATCGGGCCCTAGCCGGTTTTGCTCAGTGGTTAGTGCATCGGCCCACGGACTGAAGGGTCCCGGGTTCGATTCCGGTCAAGGGCACACACCTTGGTTGCAGATTCAATGTCGGTCCAGGCCAGTGCAGGAAGCAACCAATAGACGTGTCTCTCTCACATTGATGTTTCTCTCCTCTCTCTCTCTCCCTCTCCCCCCCCCCTTCCTCCCTCCCACTGTCTCTGAAAAGCAATGGGAAAAATATCCTCGGGTGAGGATTAAAAAAACAAAATCCATACCCATCAGCATAGTCAGACACAGGGGCACCCACGAGAGGGCCTGGAACTTCACTGAGGTGTGAGACCTGGACTAGAGCCTATCTTCTCACTTGGAGATCACTTCACATCCCATGGTTCTAACCTCTGGCTGTGACAATGAGAAACCTGCTTTGTGGTTCAGAATTTCTAATAAAATCATTAAGAGAATCAGTCCTGAACAGGAGTTTGCCAGGAAGTCTCAAGAAAACAATCCATTGGAACATAACAGGATCCCATGGAATTCAGTGGGACCACTGTATCGAAATATCCAGACTATTCAGTGCACCTTAGCTCTGTTCAGAGTTAGGAGGTTGAATCCTAACTCTGAAACCATTGGTGGTTTCAATCCTAGCTCTTATATAACAGAGTGAAATGATGCCTTGGTGAATGTGGCAGGAACATACAGGTGAATTGGAGAAAGGAGAGCTTGAAAGCAAGGACATCAGTTTAGGAACCTGTTTAAAAGTCCAGGCGTGGGGTGAGGGGCCTCCAGTTAGGGGAGAGGGAGAGCAGACAGGAAAGGATTTGTATCTGAGAAGATGTAGGCCAGAAGAGGCCCTGGGTACACTAGTCTTATAGGGTGCACCTGCAAAAAAAATGTTGGTGTGGTCAAACATGTTTGGGGACCGAAAGATAAACCCTGTCTCCTCAAGACTCAAGGTGAATATCAGCGTATTAGGGGTTCCAGGAATTCTTGCAGGAAACCTGTTTTCTTGATTTCTTCAGCCATTGTGTTGAATGTTTTCTGTGATCCTCTGGGAACACACTTGGGAAGGCGTGGCTCTAAGGTTTGAGTCCAAGAGGGACTTAGGTGGTGAAAGAGAGGGAAGACTCAGCAGTTTCTTTGTTGGAGCCTTCTTGCATCTACTGGCTGGAGACTTCACTGAAAGTAATGAGAAACTATTGAAAAACTGATGAAGGGAAAGGAACTGGATGTATCTTGAGCTAGGCTTTCTTTTGCGGCTTTTGCATTTAATACAAGTGCCCAAGAATCCACTGAGAGCCTTTGTCCTGTTAACCTACATTTCAAGCCCATGCCCCAGGGACTGCTGGCCTTTTTCCTCTTATCAACCTGCCGCCAGCACCACTCTGAACTTGGGTCCTTGCTATAAGACAGGCACAACTTTGGATTCTAACATATCTGAGTTTGACTCCTAGTTCTGTCACTTGAAAGATAAGAGATCAGGGACAAGTCAATTCAAACTTCAGTTTTTTAAACATAAACATAATTCATAGCCTCATAGACTTATTGTGGGGATTAAATTAGATACATATGAAAACATGTCATGGGCTTGACACAGAAGTTCCAATAAATGGTAGTTATTGTTACAGAGAAAACAAATTTTGGTTGCAGAGTGGAGTTTAGTGTCTTCAGATACTCTTTATTAGCTCTAGAGACAAGCACATCAGCTCTTCTCATTTTAAAGTCCACTTCTATTTTCAGGAAAAGAGGGTAACAAAATAAATAGAGAACATTTCAGCAACTCTCCAGCACCTATCATGTGCCAGGCGCTCTTTGGGCCCTGGTGATGTAGCGTTCACAGGATAGAGAAGTCTCCTGCAGCCCCTGCTGTCACTCTAGTGTGGGAAAACAGACAAATGAGAAAACGTGTCCCATAGTAACAAGGGCTGTAATTCAATTAAAGCAGGTGGATATAAGAGGAAGTGACTGGGAGAAACCTAAGGTTGGATGGTCAGAAAAGGCCTCTAAGGCAATAATACTTGAGACTCAAATAATGAGGAGCAGACCAAGTGACGATCTAGGGGAAGAGTATCCCGGACAGTGGCGACCGTGGGTGAGTACACAGGCCCTCAGTGTTCAAGTAGCAGAGGTCTGTGTGGTAAGAGGCGCGATGAGGTCAGCAGGATCCTGAGGGCTTTGCAGGCCAGAGGAAGTAGTGTAGATTGTATTTAGTATTTTGGGAGCCACAAGAGGATTTAAGCAGTGGCAGGAGTATGTTTTATTTTGAAAAATTAAATTATCTGTATGTTTGCTGGGTATAGAGAAGTTTTTTACTTCTTATATAAGATTTCTTAAGTTTTTAGAATTGACCTAAAGTCTAGCTTCTCTTCGGGAGATGGCATTTAGCAGCCTGCTGGATATTTCCACTTTCATTCCACCTCCCCTTCCTCCACACATACCCTTGCCTTCAAGATGACCTTTCCACAGGTCCTGAAAGCAAAGTAATAGGATTGGAAATGCCTTCAGAACTGACCTTGCCTTGAGATGGAGGAGTGGCTAAGAGCCTGGCCAGAAATGGCTTTAAGCTGGGTGAGCAAACCAGACTGCACACTGAGTTGTTTGGCACAAACATTTTTTCCAATTGATTCTTTGTGATTTAATTTTTTTTTTTAATTCTTATTTAAGAATTTTACACATACACATGTATATTTGGAATGCTTTACATGGGTCATGCATTCCAGTTTAATATAAGGCCTTACTTTTTATTGCTTTAAATCTCGCCCCAGTTCATACATTTATGTGACCTGCCTGGGCCCCTATAGGCCTTTGAGTATTAAATGATTAATGTTTATCATGTGTGCAAGCCTTAAATGGGAAGCATTTATACTGTAAAAGAAAACACCAAAAAACCCCCACAAGAGTAACAAATACTACCCATGCAAATGAAAATATCAAATGCTATTTTCCATTGTTAAAAAAAAAAAAGGCTTTATCAGGGCAGAAAAGTCAGCAAGGAAAAAGATGGCAGAAATGAGTGGGCTGGGGATTTCATAAATAGATTCCTTCATGGAACTTTCTGTCCATTGACTTCACTGTAGGCACACTTTCTAAATGACAGGTGAATAATTCATCACTACTGAATTATTATTTTGCATAAAAAGAGAGGTAATCCCTGGACAGTAGGAGCCCAGACTACAAAATACTTTGTTGAGAGTTGGTTAGTTTACTTGAATGGGGTAAACAAGCTTCGGGGGGACAAGGGCCTAAAGTGCTATTCTGTCTCTGGTAGCACAGGCTGAGGAGGTGTTAGGCAGATCAACAAGTCTCAGCCCTCCTTTCACATCTGTAGGTTGTCGCCGAACACCATGGTGACCCCCCACAAGAAGAGCATGCTTGGAAATGGGAACTACGATGTGAACGTCATTATGGCAGCACTTCAGACCAAAGGCTATGAAGCTGTTTGGTGGGACAAGCGCAGGTAATCTGGACCAGGCTCCACCTGATGAGAACTGGCACTCAGGGATGAGTGGGGAGGGAGGTGGCCAGTTGTGGTGTGACAGCCAGGGAAACTGACACTTTCTCTTTTGCAGGGATGTCAGTGCCATTGCTCTCACTAATGTCATGGGCTTCATCATGAATCTGCCCTCCAGCCTGTGCTGGGGTCCACTGAAGTTGCCTCTCAAAAGGCAGCACTGGATCTGTGTTCGAGAGGTGGGCGGTGCCTACTACAACCTAGACTCCAAACTGAAGATGCCCGAGTGGATTGGAGGCGAGAGCGAGCTCAGGTGCCTGTGGTCGCTAATGTACTGTGTGGGCTTCTTCATGCTCATCTTTGATTATTTGACAAAGGAAATGAAATTCCTAGCTCCTTGGACCTCTCCTTGCCTTATTTAGAATCACAAGGTCTCAGACTTATAAGACCTGAATCTTTAATGGCTCATAAAGTTCCCAAACCTGGGATACTGGCCTTCTGGTCTGGTGGGACTGGCATTGTAATATTTATCTACACTTAGACAACTGTGACAGTTCAGCTGCCAGTTTAGAGAAAGGAAGACATTCAGGGCAGAGAAGACTAAACTTCTCTTGAACCAATTGTTTTTTTAAAAACAACTAGAAGCCCTTTACTTTAGAGTACTTTGGACTAGCTCTGTTTGTCACAGAACTAGCTCCATTTGGCAATAATATGATCAGCAGCAAAAATTCAGATTGGAAATCCTAACTGGACAGATTGAGAGGTATACCAAAGGTGCGACCCTCCAAGAACAGGTCACTACAAGAGTGTTTTTTAGGATTGCCACAGGTATAAATAATGAGGTTCCTGGTGATCATGTGGCCCCAAGACTGGAAATGGCTATTTTAACAGCACTTTGTTCTCTTTCATCTTTTTTCCTCATAGGAAATTTCTAAAACATCACCTGCGAGGAAAGAACTGTGAACTCCTGCTGGTGGTACCAGAAGAGGTGGAGGCCCATCAGAGTTGGAGGGCTGATGTGTAACAGTTGCCCAGCCTTCCCTCACCTTGACCCCCTAAATCCTCTGTGATGTGCTGTGGCCTACACAGTGGGTCTGCCCTTGCCCCTTCCCCAAACATCTCATCGGGTTTTCCCCTCAAACTTGACAGTGTGCAATAGGCCAGATGTGTGAAATGTTACAAGAACCAGCCAGCGTTACTTGTTCCTGGAAGAGGAAGGTAGGAGCTCTGTGCTTAGGGCAGGCAATGGAAGACACTTGTTTTATTTGAAGAGAGGAGGAAAAAAGTGGGTCCTCACTTATTTTTCCCTTTCCTCTGAGGACTTGACAGAGGCTCTGCTGGAGTCCACTGCTGCTCTGACTTACCTGGAGATGCTGCCTCCATTTCCCCTTTCCTGGCAACTAGTGGGTCTGAAGACACAGTACATGCAAAGCCTTTGTGACAAGTTTGAAGGACCCAGAGCAAAAGGGCCTCAGGAAACCATCTCAAAAACCCCAGCAGCACTACAGCATGCCGTCTCCAGCCCTAAATGCCACCCCTTACCCTATTTTTAGAGGTGGTTTATGGCTATCCTTGGAGTTTCATAATGAAAGTTCTCTAATATTAATTTCATACTGAGTGATTGAATCCTGCAACATTCTAACATGACAGGGTGAGCTAGATACCTAAGAGGACATGGCCAAAGCCAGGAGGGCATGGGCAACCTGTCCGCCTCACTCCAGCACTGTCCCTGCCACTTCATTACACTAATTTAGGAGGCTCTGGGGCACAAGATAAGAAAAAAGGCAGTTTTCCCACTCCGGCAAAATCAGGAAAAAATAAGCCTGCCTCCAACAATCAAGTTCCACTAGTTTAAGACAGAGTTGGGTGAGGGAAGTATTATGGCGAGAACAGCTGGAATCAGAATTCCTAGGCTGGAAGTCACTATAGTGACAAGCAGAGTCCTCAAGTTGCGTGGTCATCTTTCTGTAGTTCCCTTTACAAATCAACTGAGAATTGACTTGCCCCCTACCTCTTTAGTTGTAGGCCACTTTTCTCCTGTAACTTTGGAAAGCAAGAGGAGGGAAAGTACGTGTCATGGCATACCATCTCCAAAGTGGTTGTGATTGCCTCAAGGCAGGTGGGCAGGCAGGGATGGCCTGTCTAGCCCTTACAGATCAATGGTCTTGGCAGGCCTGAGAGCTGCTCCACTAGCCAGACTTCTCTCCAGCAGCAAAGCCAGCCTGGGGCTTGCATGTCAAACCTGAGCAAGTGAAAGGGGATGAAGCTGAGGCTTTCTCTTCCCCACTGTGACTGGAGTGCATGTTTACACCAGCACTTTTTCTGCACATTTAACTTCAATCCAACGAGGCCATTTTTTATGCTGAGTAACAGGCCACCAAGCGGCTACTGCGTTACACCGTCTAAGCAACTGACTGCAGTCTCTTTTGCACCATTTTCTACATCAGACCTGCTTGGCACCACAGACAGCTCTTTGTCCCTGCACAACGACATTCCAGCCACCACCAGCCAGAAGTTACAGCCAGCCTTGCCGACTGGTCCATTGGCACCGTCAGTGATAGATAGGAAGCCATTTCCCGGGAAGAGGAGAAAACTCCTCTCCAACCTGCTTGGGCCTGTACTAATGGCACTTCAGAGGAGTCCCCATGTTCTTGGAGTCCGTGAGTCAATGGGATATGCAAAGACGCTTAAACATTTCAGGGCTGGTTTCTCTGTTCATATCCAATTCTGGTGCTTAGGAACAGGGACCCATGCTGATGCCCAAGGGCAAAAAGCCCCATTCCCTTTAGGGAAGGGGGCAAGCCTGACCCTGATGCCCAGTAAGGGGCAACCCTAGGCTTTTTGTTTTTCTTGCTATA